ACTCAAAAGAGACGAAAAGGAACTTAGAAAATTTGGAAGATTGGAGACGTAAAAGTGATAAATAGTGAAAGGAAGGGCTATTTATAGATTGAAGCAATCACGGTTCAATATCAGCGGTGCTCGACCTCCTTCTGACACGTATTAAATGCCTTGGGAAGCTAAACCGGCGAACAGCTATCATGTACGTCATGGTCGGGCTCGATGCAAACGTCAGCTTATATCTGATCGAGCCGTTGTGAAATCATGTCGTTTCTCGCTACATCCTTCCCGAGAAACGAGGGGACTATCTGTATACGGTAAAAAACGGTTAGTCCTTCGAACGAACTGGTTTAAATGGTAATATATTAGATCAGAGAAGCGTCTTCATAGTATCAGGTTGAGGTCCGAAATTGGGTCACCAAGCTTCGAGCCCGAAGGACCGGTCATTGTCGAGCTCGATGTTATTATCAAGCTCGAATCCAAGTCAAACTATGATGCAAAGTAAAGTTATCGAGCTTATGATTCAGAGACACCAACACTGACCCCGAATCAATACAAGGATCCGAGTCAGAATTGAGCTCGAGTCAAGATCGAGAGCTCGAATCAAGACCGAAAACTCGAGTCGATATCGAGCTCATAAACAAGAGTCGTTGCAATCCCACAAGAGGAGAGAATCCTGACAGGAATTATGGAAAAGCTGATTTATCATGGGTCTCCCACTATGTATTTTTAATTATATCTAAAAGTAGGATCTTCCACTATAAAGAGGATGACTACATTTCTGTAAAAGACAGTTCTTTGCTTACTTTGTAATTCAAGCACTATATTTTCCTATATTCAAGAGTTATTCTTTTAAGTTTCATAAATTGATCCATCTTGCTTAGTCCTAAAAATCATCTTCTTTCCAACCTTGTTTATTTTGCATTCTTTGCAATTCATATTTGATATTTCTATTTATCCTTACGATTTGTATTAAGCTATATCACATATCCTTAGAACTACATACAAATTCAACTTTATCCGTTTTTTGGATAAATAGATGGACGAGAACTCTCTTCTTCCATAGACTTGTGCATACAACCACCTTTCCCCACCACCTCCAAAAAAAGGGAAAATACTAAGGACTTAAGTGAAGAAATTGAGGAGAAAATAAAAGCTACGTACTGCCACAGTCTTTATAGTTAGGTCATTGCACAGTCAGAATCCAATATTGAACGAACTTGATAAGTGATCAATTGTATATTGGTGGTCCAGTCCATATAAATTTGGCAAACTACAGAACTGAATTGTGAGTGGATGTCACTCTTTAGTGTGCTTAAAGAGAAACAGCTAGCTTGATTTCTTCAAATAAAAAATAAAAAGAAAATAGCACGTGAATTTCCATATGTGAAGTTGTGAAAAACTTTGAGATTATTTCTGAGCAACTCCAAGTATAAACTGCAAAGGTCCAAATATACTCATGAATTTTCGAAAATGGTCTAACAATACCCCTCGTTATATTATTGGGTTAATTATACCCCTACACTCATACTTTGGGTTCAAATATACCCCTTATTTAAACGGAGGGACACATGTCATTGTCCTGTTGGCCAAATCTAAATATCTCATAATTAATTAAAAAGACTCATTATTTGGTACCCGAAAAGCAATTTTCTAAAGCAATATTTTTTTGCAAAAATTGGAAAAAACTAAAAAAATTTTTACTAAAAACTAAAAAAAATGAAAATATAGTTTTCTCAGTTTTTTTAAAAAAAACTGCATTAAAAAAAACTGAAAAATATTTTCTAAAATAATGTTTTTGTAAAAACTGAAACAAAAACTGAAAAATAATTTTCTAAAGCAATTAAAAACTGGAAAAAAACTGAAAAAAAAGAAAATATTTGTTTTTTCAGCTTTTACAAAAATATTGCTTTAGAAAATTACTTTTCAGTTTTATTTTAGTTTTTACAACAAAAATTGCTTTAGAAATTATTTTTTAGTTTTTTTAAAGCAATATTTTTCTAAAAACTAAAAAAAAATATTTTCGATTTTTTCAGTTTTTAGTAAAAAAACATTCAGTTTTTAATTGTTTTAAAAAATTATTTTTCAGTTTATTTTTCAGTTTTTATAAAAATATTATTTTAGAAAATATTTTTCAGTTTGTTTTAAAGCAGTTTTTTTGTAAAAATTGGAAAAAAAATATTTTCGTTTTTTTTTTAGTTTTTAGTAAAAATAATTTCAGTTTTTTTTTTAGTTTTTACATAAAATAATTGTTTAAGAAAATTGCTTTTCGGGTATCAAATAATGGGTCATTTTAATTAATTAAAAGATATTTACAATTGGCCAACAGGACGATGACACGTGTCCCTCCGTTTAAATAAGGGTTATATTTGAACCCAAAGTGTGACTGCAGGGATATAAATAACTCAATAGTATAATAGGGGGTATTCTTAGATCATTTTCAAAAGTACATGAGTATATTTGGACTTTTGCCGAAGTATTTATGGGGGACATTATTCAAGTCTATGGGGCTGTCATTGGACCTCGCTTGAAAATCTTCTTTATATGCATATAAATAACTTTGTGTAAGAAAAAATGTGTATATATATTACGTTTGACACTGCTCAAAGATATTACAACTAAATTTAATTTCTAATTGAATAGGAAATGAAGACTCAAAATCAATGGAGTCTTAGTACGCGTTTGGACATAAGAATTGTAAAATTCGAAAAAATGGTGAAAAAGTTTTTCAAGTGAAAATGGTATTTGAAATTTAAAGTTGTGTTTAGACATAAATTTCAGTTTGGGTTGTTTTTGAAGTTTTGTGAGTGATTTGAGTGAAAATTTTGAAAAACAGTTTTTTTGCAGTTTTTCAAATTTTAGAAATTTCCACCAAATTTTATGTCCAAACGGGACTTTAGACTCAAAGAATTTTTTTTTCCCTTCAAATTGTAACAATACAATTCGACACCGCTTATGCAAAATCGCTAGTACGCCACCACAGCAAGCTACTTATAAAATCTTGATCGAACGGCAAGTTATTTACTGTTTATAAAGTCCAGACAACCATTATCATGCGTATAATATGAGCAGATTTTGCCATGGGTATAATTTAAGAATATGATGTTCACTAAAGCAAATGATTTTTTTGAATAGAAACCTTCAAACAGAAGACATATAATCGGAACTTGCAATGATTTATCAAAACAAGAAAAAGAGCTCTCTCTATATATATATTGCCTACTAAAGTGAGACTACTTGAACATATATACTTTACTACCAACAAAATTAATTCTAAGATGCTTTTCCTATTCAATATTCCTTGTTTCGGTTTCTTTAAATTATTCCACTAAGGTATATCCACTTATCCCAGAAAGAAAAATGTAAGAAACGTTATTTAAAAAAAATACGAAAAAAATTTGGAACAAATTAAAGCCATCTGGTATCTCCAAGAAAGTGTATGAATTTAATTCAATGCTTTATATATACTAGCTTATATGTTACGGGTTCAAGCCGTGGAATAAGTCATTATGCTTACATTAGGGTAGATTGCCTACATCATACCCTTTGGGGTACGGCTCTTCCCCGGACCTTGTCTGAATGCGAGATGTTTTGTGAACCAATCTACCTTTATATTTACCGAAGAATTGAAGGTATATATATATATATATATATATATATACACTAATGCTCTAAGTTTTGGTATGACACCCATCAACCAATCAACTCAATTGTCATACAAAATTGCATAAAGGTGATAGCAAGAGATGCTAATAATCAACAAAAGCTTTCAACCGTTGTCAAGGGATTCGATTTTAAGCTTCGCATTTTTTAAGATATGCTTAAATAGGAAAAAATCTTTAAAAGTTTTATTCTATCAGGTTTTTGTATGTGGACTGTGGTAATTTATGATTTTGACACACTCATTACGAAAATCAACGAATTTAAAGAACATAGTTATGATATTTTCACTTTAATGAATGCCATCTAATGACGGGCCCACATTTAATGTTATGAGTTCTCAAGCATCCAGTAATTTTGGAACCAAACATTATTATTTATATAGAAAAACTAGTAAATCCTATAAATATGTTAAGTGAGTACCCAATCTCAATAGCAACCGTAGAGAGAGAAAAATTACGCACCCACAATTTAAAATTTCTAGGTCTGCTACTGCAGACTTGTATATAAAATTCCGTTGATATTTGCAGTATTGTATTAAAAAGTTGGCAATAGCTCATTACCCTAAATAAATACAGAAACAGGAACAAAAGTCCCTAATAATGTGCTATTTGCTTAACAAACGTCAAACCAGAAACATAATAAATTAATTAATCTAGAAAAAAGCATCAGCCAAATTTAGCACCTATTCCTATTCCTAATCCACATTATTATTCTTTTTACAACTCTACATTATCCTCTAATTAATCATTTCCTTAGTCTACACATCATTGATCTGCCTTTAGATGGCCCAGCATTTGGCTGTCTTCCTTTAGATGGTTACTTCTTTTCCTTTCACTTTTTCCTTGATTTGTTTTTTCCCAACTTTCTAGCTCAAGACACAAATATTGTGTGATCCTTAATCTTCTCCACAATATTATTTTATAAATTGGTTAAATTAAATCACTTGTTGATCATAAATTTCTACAATATTTTTTGAACTTCTCCTCTTTGATTGGTCTCTACTTGAATGTTGCTCCAACTTTTGGTGTCCAAAAATCCATAGTAGTTTCAGCTGTTGCTGGGAAAGTACTTGATATTGGTACTAAACACAGTCCTTGGCTCCTTAAGTCTTGTTTTAATCCTTCTTGTTCCTTGACCTATCAGTAGTCAATAAAATATGAGTTTAATTTTTATATATTGACAATATAAAAAAAAATTATATTATTATATCACCTAAAAGATAACTATATATGACTATCCATAAAAAAAATTGAATTAGTAACCTAAAAAGTAACACAAGTTACCTTCTATATAACATGTAAATAAATGCACTGATAGTTCAAAATTTTTTTTTACTGTCAGTTCAAATAAAGTTAAATTCAAAAAAAATAAATCAAAAATACTTTAAGTTTCTTGTTTCTAATTCTTTTCAATAAATCGTATATAATAATTGATCAACATAGGAGTTACAAGATTTCTACCTGTTGACATTGAGTGGGTGATCCCTTTTTCATATATGGGTTGCTTAAAACCTGAAATCACAAAACAACATGTTAATTGGAATATTTTGTGATTTACTAAGAAGATATTTTGTGGAGTTATAATAAGGAGTACGTACATTGACTTGATCATGAAGAAACTTGATGTACTCAATAGCTTCTTGGAGAACTGAAGCTGTATCGGTCTAAGATAACAAGCAAAAACCAAAGGTTATTAACAGCTTAAATATTAAAATAGAGCACTAAATCATCATTTTTCATAATTGTGTAACAGAAAAAGAAGCAATAATGCTCTTCCAAAAAGTAGAAAAATCCAAATATTTACCTTTCCAAAAGGTGAAACCAATTGTTGGAGGGCAGTTATTCGGTCCCCCATTTTCTCTTTTCTGACCTAATAACAATGCTAAAAATTAAATTCTCATCCTTTACCTTGGACAACAATCATTTTGCTTATAAAAGAAAGTGTCCAATCATTTTGCTTATAAAAGAAAAAGCGATGCACGAGACATCCTACGTTTACGCAGGGTCTAGCGAAGTATCGCACCTCAAGGAGGGTGAGTAGATAGCCTACTCTAATGACGGTTACTTCCACGGCTTTAATAAAAAATTATACTAAAAAACATATTGTATACCTTAAAAGTTGGCAATGGTGATGGTGTCTCAATTCGGGGTCGTTTATATGATGGTTCATTGCTGCTATTCTTAGATAGTGAACTTGAGGTCGACTCTGGGATTTCTTCAATATTAGACTGAAAAGTTATACCAAGAATTGTTAATATATATTCTCTTGCAAAAAAAATAAAAAAGGTAATAGTATGGTTATCTACGACAACATGTTAAAATACACTAATATTGTAAAAGAAGTTTATTATACTGCCATCGTATATAAGATAAATTGCTCAAATTATATGATGTACTTGCCAAGAATTGTTAATATATATATATATATATATATATATTCTCTTCAATAATAGTCAGGTTATCTACTACAATATATTAAAATAATACACTAACTACTTAAAAGGAAGTTGTTACACTGTCAGTGTATTTAAGTTCAAATATCAAACTATATCATGTACTTACCTTAGAGAATAAGTTAGGAAGATTTGCGAGGATTTCACTTGAAGGCTTTAACAAGTGAGTAGGCAAAGAAGGTGCAAAATCATCCAAATTTTGCTTATACTTTGTGGATGATGTACAATTGATTGGCTGGTTGTTTGTATAAAAAGATTGTTGAGGTTGTTGATTAGGATCAGTATCAAATAGTGTTTGCAGCAATTCTGAGTAGTAAGGGAAATCTTGATTCATTGGTTTATTAAAAGAGTTGGTTGAAGAATCCTCAGTTATGCTAGAAAAGTTCCTCTTCAACTTGGGACAATTCACCGCATTTTCTTGCTGGTAATTCAGGCTTGAATTGAGGTCTTCTTGTAGCATGGAAAGATAAGTGTCGTCCAACTTATCATTGCTGCATAATTCCAAGAAAAAGGAATATAAGAAAAAACTTTATTATTACAAACTACTCCCTCCGTTCCAATTTATGTGAATCTATTTGACTGGGCACGGAGTTTAAGAAAAAACGAAGACTTTTGAAATTTGTGGTCTTAAACAAGTCAAAAAGGATCACAGAGTATTTGTGTGGTTATAAAAACTTTCCATTAAGGGTAGAATTGTAAGTTTAAGCAAAAATGTTTCCAAATTTAGAAAGGGGTCATTCTTTTCTGAAATAGATTCACATAAATTTGAACACAGGGAGTAGTATATTTTGACTTCCTTATGCTTTCAAAGATAATCTCTTAATAAAATGCTTTTAGACCACAAAGATAAGAGAGTAACATAACATAATATTTTCGAGTTCAAGCTTCGAGAATGGAGAAATGTTTTACCAGTAGAAACATGCTTTTCCATTCAGTGGGCCCTATACAACTAGTAAATACCTAATACCGGATAGTGAAAAAGGCAGTACAGTGCAGAAAACATCTCGCATTCATACAGGATTCAGAAAAAGGCCGTATCTCTAGGAGTGTGATGTATATAGTCTACCCTAATATAAGCATCAATTGATGCTTTCACGTCTCAAACTTGTGACCTAAAAGCCAGACAAAAACAACTTTACCGTTACTCCAACACAACATTCACCTAATACCGGATAGTAGAACAGAAAAACGCTCAAGAAGTATCTTTCTCCTCTACTATTTTATAACCTTTCCACCTTCTAAGAAAACCAAAAAAAAAAAAAAAAAGGATGAACAAATTAAATAGGAATTGCTTACGGTGAGTGATTCCAATCAGGTGTTGATGATGGTAAAGAAAGATCAATACCCAATATTTGTAGAGTGGAATCATCACTGGACTTTGTTTTCATGTCCAACAAATCACTAATTGGCCATGAAATTAAGTGTCCAATAGGATCATAAATTGAAGAGACACAATTAGGTGATAAACCAAAAATATTTTTTGTTGAATTCCACCAACTGTTTTCTCCACATACACCAACTTGAAATTCATCCGCCATAGCCACTTTATAATTGCTATTAAATCCAAAGATTTTCTCTTCTTCAATTCTTGGTAGCTTAGGTGCTTATTTTTTGATTATATATGAAACTGATAAACTTCTGAAGTCAGAGTTGTATTTATACACAAAGATATATGGGAGGGTGGGGGAGAGGACTGGGACTGGAATTTGGTTGACATTATTCGGAGAAGATGATTAGACAAAGCAAAGGAGGGAAGAATATTTAATTAATTATGATAAAAGATAAAGGTATTTTGGATCGAATTCTCTTACTACATTATTTTATGTATATTCTTTGCTGTTACTTTAGATAACAATTTACGTGACATAATTCAGATTTCAAGAGTCAAATTTCGTGTAATTTCAAACATAGAACTTTTAAATTTTTTGAAATAAATTTTATATATTTAAAAATTATGTAAAAGAAAAAGTACTATAAATTATAATATTAAGGGTTCAAAATATTTAAAAGGCAGGTAAAAGATTTGAAGTGACTCATAAATTGACACCAAAGGAGTAGTAAATTACTTACTCCGTTTCAAATTAGATGAGTCCCTTTTAGTATGTTCCAAAATAAATGATACATTTTTAAATTTAAAAATAATTTAATTTTAAACTTTTCATTTTACTCATTTTACCTTTAATGAAAAGTTTTTATAACCACATAAAAGTTATGGCCCCACAAAGTTTTTACCCCTAAAGTTTTTAAGATCACAAGTTTCAAAAAATTTCTTTTAATTTCTTAAATTTCGTGCCGAGTCAAACTAACTCATATAAATTGAAACGGAAGTATATATTTTTTCTATGGTTGCTTATTATATTGAGAGAAAGGGATGTGGTGGCAAAGTTTCATGTGGCAGCCACGCAACTGTTTTAAGACGAATAATGACAGTACTATTTACTTTTAGTCTTGTTAATTTGTATGGCTGAAATTGTTTAGACTCGTGAACCCGAATTTCAGGAACATTGTATATTTTATTATCCTAAACTAAGAAATTTGGAATTCGAGCCCCAAAATGAAATAGTCTTTATTATGGAAACGTTTCACCTACATAATCTGAATTAGTCAGGAACAGAGTATGTTACACCATGTGGAAAAAAAAAAGGGCTCTTAGCATTTTATTTATACTTGAATATATGCTAAACAAATAATCAATTAATTAGAAAAAAAGTAGTTATTCATTACCCAAAAATATGAAGAAGACTGTTAATATCACGCTTGAGAAAAATGAAAATTTTGACAAATTTGCAATCTGATTTAAGTATTTTCTTTTTATTAATTTCCTTGAAGTGATAGAGTAGAAAAGAATGAAGCAGTTGACCTACTGATACTTGGAACTTAAAGTCAGCGCAGCTGAAGTTTTACTTGAGTGACCACAAATTTAGGAATAGTTTGACTTGTGTTGTCAATTCGTTAATTTCAACAATTTATTTCAAATTACTTGACTTGCTAGGACCATATAACATTTATTCTCTCTATTTATATTTTATTTAATCAATAGTTTCAAAAGGGTCTCACTTTTAATTCATATATGCATCATAAAGTCGTAGTAGAAGCTCTTTTCTCATGCTCAGGGGTGGATTTAAGCCCAAATTATGATGCACAAGAACACATAATCTTTCTTTTAAACTAGATATTTTACGTACATATTTTGTAGAATTGATCTAATATTATTTGCTAAATATCATGCTCCAAAATGTGGATTGAATGATGCAATTAGTTGAATGTTGAGTTAACTACCCAAATAAAGAAGGATTAGTTCTTACTAAATATTTTGCTAGCGTTTGGACATAGATTTGATTGAAACTTGAAAAAAAAAAAATTTTGAAGATGAGATGAAAAATATTTTTGAAAGTTAAAATTGTATCTGGACTTGCATTTTACTTGAAAAGAAGTTGAAGTTTTGTGAGTATAAAACTTAAAAAAAACTTGTCTAAGCTGCTTTTTGAAACTTGAAAAATTCATCTTCAAAAATGGCCCAAAAAATGGTTGCTTTTTATAACCATACAATGTTTTCAAAATATTTTTGAAAAAAAAAGTAAAAAAAACTTATGGCCAAACGGACTTTTTTCTCTTGTTTTTAGTAGCACACCCATATTTTACGAATCCTAGATCCGTTTCTGATCATGCCGCCTGCTAATCAGTTATTCAGCTGATATGACTAAAGTCCTAGTTGTGTTAACCGTAAATTAGATAAATAATATGTTATCTTCTGTGGTTTTTATTAATCCCTAATACTGTTGTAAGTTAGGTCAATCCCATGAATATATTTTCTACACACAAAAACAATTATGTAAGGGTCGGACAACGATCAACCCACTACGTCAAACTAATAATCAAGAAGTTAAGAGCCTGTTTGACCAAAACATTTTCACTTTTTCGGGAAATCAATATTTGGCTATAAAATTTTTAATTTTTACTTAAATATGATTTTAAAATTTTTTGAAAATTTGAAAAACTCCAAAAAACTGTTTTTCAAAATTTTCACTCAAGTTATTCACAAAAATTCAAAAACAACCCAAAATTATATTCATGTCCAAACACAACTATACTTTTCAAATGCTATTTTTTTCACTTTTTTCCGGAATTTTATAATTCTCATGTCCAAATGCCCACTTAATTCAAGTACATGTAGAGTTGAGTTATGTCATATCTAATTTGTTGACATTTTCTATAGTTAGAAAGTTTTTTCACTCTAAATTTTACATCTTATCTTTAATGACATGTTAAAATATGTCATTAAAATCTTTAGTTAAAGAATGAAATCACAAAAAACATCGCTATAAATATTTCAATCGATGTCAAAGGGAATTAGTCAGCCTATCCACTACTCCTTGAATTTTCTTCTTGTCCATCTTTGCACTATAGATTGTTCTTCCCTTTTGGAAAATGACCCAAATAAGATTTTAAAATAAGAAATATAAGAAAAAAGAGGCGGAATTTGTTATTTTAAAAAGAAAAAAATTAGGCAAACGTTGGAAAAACTATTTCAAACAAAATGATTTTTTTTCTAGTGATCTTCTCCATATTCACGAGTCTATTAATCCCTAAAAAGAATATGTTTTAATTTAGAAAAAATGCATAAGTACCCTGACCTATAGCTGGATTTCCAACTACACATTTAAAAATAGTTCAGGAGCTAATAAGATCCCCGCAAAGATAAAGTGTATAGTTGAAAATCTGGCTATATGTTAGGAGGGTACTTATGCATTTTTCCTTTAATTTATACCTAACTGATTGATTTCTTTATTATTTATTTTAGCCGATTGTAATAAGTAAACTATTTTATATTTTAAGATATTAATTTCACTTATCATGAGCAATTATTAGTAATTTTTTTTTACAATGTAAATATATAAAAGTTACTCTCGAAGTAATATATAAAATTAAAAAAATGAAAATATCCAACTTTGAAGTCAACTTAAACTCGTAACAGTGCCATTTGGACCTTAAACTCTCCGGCGAACTAAAAAAAAAAAGATAATTAAATATTAATGGCCTTTAAATAATTTAGAAGCACAATTATTATTTTGGCCCGCCTTAATGCTCATGTCATGGTTTAAGACTCATTCAACCGCACCTAATTTGTTGGTCAAAAGTCATTATATATTAAGGGCCTTTAACCAAGTTATATTAGAAGCACAATTGTAGACCAAACATTCACCAAAACATCAACTGATCATAAACCCCTAATCTTGTCTCAACTTTCCAACTTGGGAAATTATTAGATAATGTTTGTTCTTTACTAAGAATATTAAATAATAAAAAAGGCAGCATGAATAAAGTAATCAGTATCCGAAGAAGGACCGCACACAAAGAGGTATAATTAGACAGTATACTCTAATACAAGCATTAGTGGATGCTTCTATAGTTCTATTGCTCGAATCTGTGACCTATAGGTCACACAGAGACAAGTCATGCCAATCTTGTAATAAACAATTGTTCCCAGAGGAAGATCCAGAATTCAAGGTTGCGGGTGCCGTATTACTTTGGACTTTGACTTGATCTCTTCTGAGTTTCGATTCGGATTATTCGTCTTTTGGTACAAATTGATCAAATAAAATAATTTAATAATTATGGTGAGCAAAGCATAAAACTTCGATAATATAACTAATATCAACAAAAAATTAGTATTATTCATTTACAATTGTCTTCGATAAATTTTCATATTATGGAGTTATGGTTTGACTAAAAGATTGGCAAATAGGAGCTAAAACTCGCTATAGATGCATATTTAGATACTCAAATCAAAAACTTATTTAGTAACCATTAGATTTTTTTGTCTTGATAGAACACTAAAAACTATGAAATAGAAGAAAGAATATATAAAATTAAGAAAGTCGATAGGAACTCACAAGGAAAAAAGAGTCAGCAGCAAAATTAAAAAAAGGAGAACGAATCTCGTGTAGCAAACTCGATCCCGCGTCCTAAAGGGCGATACATTAAGCCTTGCGCAAGTGGCACCAAGCGGCCCTTTGTTATTTTGGGTGCCACTTTACTTATTTATCCAAATTTCTAAATATACATATATATACATATAGCGTTTCGACCGAGGTGTGCAGGTGTGTCACCCTCTTCCTCCTTAGTAGATCCGCCCTTGACTGTTCCATATATTATATATATATATATATATATATCAGAAGTATTCTTGTACTGTTTTCAGTTGTGACAAATAAGAAAAACACCCATGGTGTGTTTCCTATGTACAATAAACCACGAATTAAGAAGTTAGATGTGTATATGTGTTACATTGGTCAAATGCATATGAGATGATACTCTAACTTTTAAAATTTAGGTACCTAGCTATTAATTAACAATTAGCATACAGTTTAAAATTTTATTTGTTTACCATTTATTTATGCTGGACAAGTGATGGATATGATTCGGGATCTCTCACCCTTTTTTAGTTAGTTTCGATAAGAATAATATATATTTATATGTGAAAAAAATCTATAACTAATTTTTTATTTTACTTTGTAGCATGCTCTTATAGTTATAAAGTGTTATGTTTAAGATCTTAAGTTCTAACATATTTTTTGAAATGTATTAAAGTTCTTTATTTTAAATTTTATGTCTAATCACATTGGTGGACCCAAGATTTTGTGCAAGTGGGTTCAATCTTAGAAGTACATAATTTTAATCATAAAATAGTAGTTTTCAGTGGG